CTGGCCTCGAACTTTCAGTAATCCTCCTGTTTCGGTCTCCTGAGTGCTGAGGTTACAGGCATCTGCCACCTCACCCGGCCTACTAAATAAGTTTTAAAAGCTTTATCAAGGTAGAAAGCTAGGGTGAATCCAACTAATATAAAGGGAATTTGAATTTACAACAACCAGATTTCAGACATGAAAGGACAGAGATATTTAATTTGCTCTTTAAAACTATTGGCTAAACAGGGTGTGGTGGTGCATGTCTGTAATCCCAGCACTCCGAAGGCTGAGGTAGGAGAACTGCTGCAAGTTTGGGGCCAGCCTCAGCTACATACTGAGTTCAAGATCAGCCTGAACTGCATAGTGAGACATTATCTGAAAAAAACAAAAAATTGGCTAACCGTTCTTGATTTCTTCAGTCCACTAGATAATAGGTTTTTGGTTTTTGTTTTGGTTGAGACAAGGCCTAGATGTATAGTTCAGGCTGGCCTTGAGCTCACTACTTAGCCCAGGCTGACCTCAGGCTTGTGGCATTTCTCCTGTCTCAGCCTCCTGTATTATTATACAGTCAGTCTCTTTATCTCCTCACATAAGCTTCTGATCCTTTGTCTCCTGACTTGGTCTGTGCAAAGTATTATGCCACAGAGATACCAAGGTCTGTAAATTTATTCAAACATATACACACAGATACAGATATGCCAAAGTTTTAGAATTTAATAATTCTAACATAGAGGTCTTTTTAATACTTCTATTAACTTTACAACTTTTTTGAGAACTTACTACATGTTAACTATAGTTCTAGATAGTGGGATTATATCTGTGAACAAAACACTTGAATACTTGCCCTCATGGAGCTTATATTCTAGAGAGAGACAGATGATAAATATGTCAAACATTAATTAATGGAACCCTATAATCCTAGCACTCAGGAGGGTGAGGCAGGAGGATCACCATGAGTTTGAAGCCAGCCTAGGCTACATAGTGAGTTCAAGGTCAGCCCAAATTACATAGCAGGCTGGGAATGGTGGCACACACCTGTAATCCCAGTGCTTGAAAGGCTGAGGCAGGAGGATTGCTTGAGTTCAAGCCCAGCCTGGGCTACAAAGTAAGTTCAAGGCTAGCCTGAACTGCATAGTAAAACAATGTCTCAAAAAGACAAAAACAAACAAACAGATTACATAGTGAGACTCTATCTAAAAAAAAGTTAATGGGAGAAAGAGTGAAACATTTAAAGAGAAAGTAACAGGGTAGCATTTCACTTCTCAAAGAAAATTTATGCTATTTTCAGAAAGCTAGTAGGGTATTTCTATAGTGAAAGGCTAAAAAGAAAGTGTTCTTTGCACAGTTTGCCTTGTGAACTTATATTTACTTTTTATTGCAAGAGATTTTATGGTGTACATTTTGTTTCATTACATAAAATATACAGGCTTGAGGGCCTAGAGTAGAGTTCACAGTGTGTGCTAAGCATGTCCGAAGCCCTGGGTTCAATCCCCAGCAAAAAGAAAAAAAAAAAAAAAAAAAAAACCAACAAAAATAAATACATAGATAAGACTTGGGAAAAAAAGGGTTTTTAATTTCAGAATAGCAGGGATTCTTTCAGGACGATCCCTCAGTACCTAATCTGTTGCCTTTGTATACAGCGAGTACTTAATTATTTATGTCTGATGAAATGCTCCCTGTTACACTCTGAATAGATAATTCTGCTGGGTTATGTTTCTCTCTCTAATTATAGTAAAACAGGCTAGCACTTGTACCATTTTCAGATTATTTGCTGTGCCCATGCAGAAGTACCAGAATTTCTACCTCAGAAGCTCAAGGCTTCCTTATCTTTTGTTAACATCTAAATTTTCTACTTAAATAGAAAATATTCAACTCATTTCCTGATTTGTTACACTTTGAGTACAGCAAAAGCATATTTTATGCTACCAGATTTATCAGGAACAGTATTGCCTAGAAAAGATGGAAGACAATCCAGAAGGAGATTTTTTTTTCAGTTTAAGTGATCTGTTTTTTCTCCCCTGTAACTAAGTTGTCAGCATGATTTGATTTTTTCCCCAGGAATAAAGGATTTATTTCTCAACCCTTCAAAGTCATGTTCTAATAGGTTCAGTACCATCCTTCCTCAAGGAAAAGACTTAGTCCAAAGATATGCCTGTCATCATCGCTGATGTGTTTTAGTCTTTTTCTTTTGAGATCTATATACAAACTTTGTTTCATGTGTTGGCATAATATGGCCATATTTTATGGCAATTACTCCAAATTTCAGATTTCTTCTGAAAATATTACTGTAGTAATAATATGATCCAGTTGGGCATGGTGGCACATGCCTATAATCCCAGCGCTCAGGAGGCTGAGGCAGGAGGATTGCTGTGAGTTTGAGGCCAGCCTGAACTACATAGCAAGACCCTGTCTCAAAAAAAAATATGATCCAGTACAACCCAAGTATTTACTTTAGGTTGTTTATATCCCTGAAGACAACATTGTGAAATATAATATTTTACTAAATATTTCAGAGATGTTTGACTCTTGGTTTCATGTTAAGTGAGTGCAAATCCAAAAACAAAGCTGTACTATTAAATCAGTGGTACAGTACTTGCTGTACCACTATTAAATAGCCTCCTTTGCAGTTTCCCAAGAAAGATGTGCAGTTCATTTTGATAACAGGATATGGTAGAGTGGGACCTCTAATAAAGAAGTCATAAAGCTGTTGAAAGATTTAAGAACCCTTTTTCTCAGCAACAGAGGAACAA